GGGACAAGGTAAAAGATAGTAAACACTATTGAAGGCGAGTTTCGATATTTACTTCACGTTTCAGTGGAAGGTGGAGGACCTCAGCATACACATAATATATCTATATCTATATATATATATATATATATATATATTTGTGTTTTGATTTGTTTGATCGGCTTGTTTATAGCAAAGAATGTCTTTATTTCACGAACAATTCTTTAATTTTAAATTATATGAATGTAAGATAGGCATGAAACTAATTCATTTAATGATTAGTGTGACTTGAAATTTAAGCTCACGAAAAAGTTACAAACTACTCTTATGAACACTGATTTTAAAGATCATGAACCATCTTACATCAATGGTTAAAGAAATCGTTATTATTTCTAGAAGTTACAGGTTCAAACACCAACAATTACAATAGGATGATTAAACATTCATTATGAAATCACATACGTTTTAAACTCATCTTTTTTTGTTTAAAAATTAAATGTTGTTTGAGCTTAATCATGAAATGATAAAATCACATTTTAATGATGTCTATTGGCATCACCATTGCTTTAAAACACTGCCTCGACGACATAATATGAACATAGACTCAATCCACAAAATACAACTCAAACAGTTTTGAGATCATATTTTATATATCCTAGTGAACATGTTAATGTTCAACTTGACAATAGATCAATTTTTTAACAAAAAATGACGTGTTTAAAACTTATGAACAGCCGAATAACTATTTTGTAATTTTTAATAGTCATGAGACTCAACAAAGCAGCGCCTCATAATCAGGATCATTTTGTAACTTTCAACGGTTAGTATATTCAACAAAGTAATATCTTATAGTACAATTTGTGTACCTTATCCTAATAATAAATTGTATAAGACAAAACGATCAATTAAAAAGGTAGTATACAAGCATGAATCAAGCTCAAGGGCATATGAATATTGCAATCATTGGTAATCATAAGCCTCAAAGACCTACACCACGTAACACCATAGTCCTCAAGAGTTGCTTCAGCAATTTCAAACATGATTCGTAAACAAGGGCATATGAATATTGCAATCATTGGTAATCATATAAAAACCATACCTGTGGGCACAAGTATTTGCATTGGTAAATTATGTCCATAGTGTAAGATTTACTTTTTGTTCTATAACCGCGCTGTTCCTGATCAACACAAGTTATCAATCAACCTAACCATTGTAATCAAGAAGTTGAGCTCGAGAATTATTGAACTTGACTCGGTTTGAAAACTCAGAAATAGAACTCGACTTTGAAACTCGCAATCCTAAAATTTTCAAGCTCAAATCGCACTTGAAATCATGAACTAAAACTTATAAAAACTCGAAAAATGCTCGAATGGGAAAAAAAACTTAAACTTAAACTCGATTGAAGCCTTAAAATCAAACTCGAACCTAAACCTTAAATACATGAAAACCTTATACTTCTTTTTTTTCTCTCCAAAATCAACACATAAATGTTAATATTATAAATAATTTATTTTTTAAAACCATAAAATCTTAATATATTATATTTTCGAGATGCTCACGAGCTTTTCGAGTCGAGTATCAAGTAGCTCGTTTCAACTCGTTAAAAACTCGAGTGATTGTTTATTGAACTTTGACTAAGTCAATCTCAAATAATTCACAATTTGTCTCGTCTAATCTACACCCCTAATCATACCCCTCATGTAATCAAGAGCAGTACAACCCACAAACTGTTATCCGCCTTAAGCTCACTCGATCACTCGTTTTGCATAACCTTACAAGACAACGTACCTATTCTAAACTAAAGTCAACGTATTAAAATAATTTCACTAGCATATGACACTGCTCCCTATAAATTAAGGGTAAACTACTCTAATGGTCACTAATGTTTGGGGAATTTTTCGTTTTCACCATTGATGTTTCAAAAGTTACAAATCAGTCACTAACGTTATCATTTTTTATCACTTGCCGTTAACAGCCATGATGGAAAACATATGTGGCCTGTTAACAGCAGTTAACAGGCTTATCTGGATGGTATAATTACGCAAATAGTCTATGTTATTTATATATTCTTTCAATTTGATCCTAGTTTTAATAAATTAAAATATATTTATTTTTAATTCTTATAAATAATGATATATTTTTTAAAAAAGGAAATCAAAAATTTAAAATTAGTTATAAAAACAAAAAAATAACGTTTTTTAATGTTAGGGTAAACTAATCAAAACAAAAAGATTAACGTTTTTTTAATAAAATTAACATTTTTTTTCTTCCCCAAACTTTTTTTAAATAAATACTAATATTAAAATCTTGTTTGTGAAGAATTTTTTTTTCATTCGGTGCATAAAATTAATTCTTTCAAAAGCTGAGGAGCGACAAGATGCAAAACTAATTACATAAATTTAAGCTGTTATATTCTTCTGGCATGACCATGTTATTTACCAGTTAAAAGGGACAAAAATGGATTATTGTCTTTGCCAAAAATGAATGAAATTTAACTGGATATTTAGGGTTCACATTTTATTTGAGTGTCTGGATTAAAGTTTATCAACGTCATATAGAGAATATAGATAGGACATCCAAATGTATAAAATGACTTTTTATTGCAATTGAAAATTATAAATAAATAAAATGGGTTGAAAAGGCAACTTAGAATTTTATATGGGTGGAGTTGGAATGGAATAGATCATATAGCTTCAGTTTTAAGGCCAAAAACAGCATGCCTAGCTGAGGCTAGAGCCGTAGACAGAGGTTAAAGAGAAGAAATTACGAGGTTGATGTTTCAAAGCTGTGAATGCCAATTGTTGAGGTCTATACAATAACAGACAGAGAGAAAGGAGGAAGACTGCAGAGATGGAAATAAAAGGAAACAATCACTTAAATCAAAAAATTCTCCAAAATCTCCGAGTACAAAAGTTTTTACCAAGAGAAGGCTTTTGTATAAGCAAATACTAAATTATCTTATTTGGATTATGTTCCCTTAAATTATTAGAGGAAGAAAAAGCTTTGAGTGATCAAATGCTAAATACTGCTTTAACACAGCTTTCTATTTTACCAAGTTCATATAATATAGGGCATGAAATGGGTAAGAAAACCTAGTTACATGTCAATGTTTAATTGCATGGAGAAAATACTCGGGCTGCTCCTGGTTTACCAAGGAAAGGAACAACACTTTGATGGCGAATAAAATTGCTGCCTTTGATTTATATGATATGTGTTATAAATATTTCAATTCACCTTGGTAAATCATGAGCCTCCAATCATTCCACTTCATCTTGTTCCTTGCAAATTTTAGGTTGGTAGATTGCAATTGATAGGATTACAGGCTTTCAAATTACATATTGTTTCATCTGTGAAATTTAGTTCTGCTTGATTTATACTACAAATTCAAAGTGTCAGGTCGTCTGCAATGTTTTCCCTAGTGCGGGCTTTTGGTGTCAAGTTAAGCTGAAGAGGAAGTTAGTCTTACCTGTTTTGAGAATGTAAGTGTCAGACCATAGGTTGTTTGATGACCTTGTATTAATTTTAAAAGCCTTCAACCCTACTTTTATAGTTGGTCAGTAGAGTTGCTAAATAGGAACAATTTTGCAAACAATAAACAATGAAAGATTTAATAAAATTAATTTTAAAAATTTTTATGTTAATTTTAAAAAAAGTTTGGGGAAGAAAAAAATGTTAATTTTATTTTTAAAAAAACGTTAATTTTTTTTTATTAGTTTACCCTAACATTAAAAAAAGTTAAAATTTTTAATTAATTTTAATATTTTGATTTCCTTTTTTTAAAATATATCATTATTTATAAGAACCAGGATTTTTGGACTATGTCTGAACAGCATAACTCAAGCTGGATTCTTAAACGAATTCTGAAAATTCGATGCATAGCCAGTGCCGTGTCGCTTTCTTCTGCATCTAACACTACGCAAATTTGGAATGAGATTCGGCCTAAAAATAGCAAAGTCATGTGGCATAAGTTGATTTGGTTTTCTCTCCATGTACCGAAGCATAGTATTATTTCTTGGATGCTCATTCTGGATAGTCTTCCTACCAAGGACAGATTACACCGATTCGAGATTATTTCTAATGCTAATTGTATCTTCTGTAATGATGGAATAGAAACAAGAGACCATCTTTTTTGCAATTGCAGGTTCACAGCTTCTATTTGGACTTCTCTGCTCCTTTCTGTCTGGTTTCCATATGTCTTTCTCCTCTTGGTCCAACATTCTGGAATGGACAGCAACCTCATGGAAGGGGAAATCTTTGATTTCAACTGTTCTAAGACTTTCTTGGTGTGGGTTTAATTACATCATTTGGGAAGAAAGAAATCGAAGGATTTTTACGGGGAAAAGTCGAACCACCACTAAAATCATCAACAATGTTAAGATGATTGTTGGGATTGTTCTAAGTAACGGGTCCATTGATAGAAACGATAGCATTAACTTATTTTTATGTAGCAATTAGGGTATAGTTTAATTTTGTTTGTACATATGTTCCCCATTCTTTTGAATCTTGATTGTAATGTTTTGTAGCAGGTTCTGCTATTTGGGTAATAAAAGTTAATTATCTAAAAAAAATTAATTTATTAAAACTATGATCAAATTAAAAGAATATATAAATAACATGAACTATTTGTGTAAGTATACCATCCAGGTAAGCCAATTAACTGACAAGTCATGTGTTTTTTTTGTCACGCCTATTAACGGCAAGTGACCAATTTGTAACAAACGATAATATTAATAACCGATTTGTAACTTTTGAAACATCAATGGTGAAAACAAAAATTTACCCAAAAATTAGTGACCATTGGAGTAGTTTACCCATAAATTAATGCTTCAAGGCATGTCACTCGATTCTAGCTCCCAAAAAAAAACCATATAACCTAATTTCAAGAATTAATTCCTAAGGCCACAACGGTTCAGCTTTACTTCATACATTACACTTGAGCACACATAGATCAACAAGATGATAAATGTTTTGACATATAAAGGTAAATTAAAGCAACCAGCAAGGCCGAATATACTACCATGCGATAACACAAAGATTAGATAGTATAAAATAAAACTAAACCAAAGTTGCTAACAATATCATAAAAAACTTTGATAAAAAGATCCCTAATGGTTATCAAAATATAAATCCTTACATAAATTAATTCTGAAAATAAACTTAGAAGACTGAAAATAAAGTCTTGACAGCTTGAGTCCCAAGAAGCCCATCTAACTTAGAACCCTAGCTTGGTGCGGCGCCAGTGTCTACGCTTAGCATTATACCTTCAATCCAAAAAGAAATAAAAAACAGTAAATACTCTGAAAAGCTTTAAAGTTAGACGAAACAAGAACAAAAAAGTAAAAGAAAATGTAAGAACCTAATGGTGTTGTCGGTTCGCATGCGGATCCAGTAAGGAATAGGTCTGTTCTGCCTCATCTTCTTGGCCAGCTTCTTCTTGATCCTGAAGGTCTTGTGCGAAGGCTGTCAAATTAAACCATTCAAGACTCAACACTAAACTTTTTCTTTGGACGACAAATGTGAAAACGAAAACAAGAACGATCGAAATTCAAGCTTAAAATTGAATAGCTCAAATATCATCTAAGGTAATGATTAATCGAAGGAAGAAGAAGAAGAGGTGTTACCATTTTTGCCACTTCCGCTGTTCAGACGAGTGCGGCACGAAGGTCCTCAATCCGCTTAGTGAGAGCTTTGGAAACGGGGACGGTGAAAACCTAATATATTTGTGCTGAGAGTGAATATGGGATTTTTAGGGTTTGCTTGTTATGCCTTTTTAGGCTTTTTCGCTATGATTTTCGGCCCAAATGATGATGGGATTTGCGGTCCGGTGGATCGTTTCTCCTCATTGTTAGGCTCTTTATCCGAAATTTTTTTATGTTGAGTTTTTTTTTAATTATTATTATTTAATTCAATATATATATATATATATATAGGTCGATTGAGTATAATATCAGTTTGTCATTATTATTATTGTAATATTTATAAACATATGTTGAGAGCGGACATTATATATACCATGTGATATATATCATATTATGATTTTAGTTAAATACATGATATTACTATGTTATTACATTATTATTCTGTGGACATAATAATATCATATTATTGTGATATGTATCGTATCATTATATAAGTTGTATGATAATATTATATTAGCGCTAAAAATTGATTATTAATAAATTAATAATTTTCATCCGTTCATATGATAAATTAAAATAAAATATTAATAGTGAAATTTATAATAAAAAATAAGTATTTTATCAAACATTATGAATTAGTTTTGACATTATATCCTTAATAAAATATACTTATAGATATTAGTTAAAATAGATATAAACTACTCTTTTTATAAAATATATATAATACTTATCCTACATATTCTCGTCACACGTGTGATGTTATTCCAACAATCACCGATTATTTTAAAAAACGAAAAGTAAATATTTACATTTAAATATACTTATTATATATATTGTGCGGGTGAAAATGATGTGAGAAGAACGGGAATGTAACATGATAAGTAAAGATAAAATCGATACAAAGATATATTCATGCTTGTTTCATTATCGTTGACAGATGTAATTTTGATTTCTATCATTATCTTATCATTTATCGGTTTTATCCATCTATAAAGTAATAAGGATTCTCAAGAAACCCACCTTCTTGGTAACCTTAGTGTTTGTGTTTTTACCGGGTAAATCATATATTTAGTCATTAATTATTCGTACGATTCAAATTTTTAAGAAAATTATGTATAATGTTATATTTTGGTCAGCTATTGTTAAAAAAATTAACAATATAACATCATCATAAAACAACGTCATTTTATTATTTAAAAAAATAAAAATATAATATCAATAATTATATTAATTTATTAATGATAAATAATTAAAATATAACATGAGATATAATTTTAAAAAAGAATTGAGTGGTTAAAGTAAAATTATATTAATAATAGAGTACAACGCATACTATATACTACAGCCCATCGTAATTATCAAATAATTCTGTTTTCCCTTTTCCCTTCTTTTTTCTTTCTCTCCAAATTTCTAATACCCCTACGCGCAGCAGATACCCGCGTGGGGCGTCCACCTCTCCATCGTAGAAATATGATCTCAAACGCCTCTCTCTGAATATTATTGGATCTAGGGTTCTGGGTTTCTTTTTCCACTCTAGTCAAATTGTGATCAAATCAAGTGGTTGTGGTTGCTCCACCGTTTGCTTCAATCCGATCTCTTTTAACGCCAATGCCTCCTCGCGCATCTAAGCGAAAATCTGCCCCACCCAATTCCTCATCCGTCACATCATCCGACGGTCGTTCTGGTACATTTCCCTTTTTCGTTTTCCGTTTCTTTCTGTGGGAGAAAAAAACTGATGTTGCTATTCTAATGTTTGCTACACGAGAAAGCGCGGGAACAAAAAAAGATTAAATGATTTTTTTTTTTGAAAAAAAGACCGAGAATTGTACAAGCCCCGATAATTATTTACAACAATTGCCGTTTTTTTTCTTTTGGGTTGTTGGTATGTGAATGAAGGTTATTATATTTTGATTGGTTTCTCAGAAACCTCAGGAAAAAGTGAAAATATTAAATTGAAGCATCGTGCGCTTGCTAATAAAAATATCCCTATAACAAACTTCGGTTAAATCGTTTCTATTATAGGTTTTCTGGTTGAATGATTATTTTGCAACTTATGTCTACATCCCGCTGAAATTTTGAAATATCCCCCTTGATTGAATTAATTTTATAATATTACAGGGTCATTTTTTTTCACAGCAAATTAGAGAAAATAGCAAGTAGGGGAGACTTGCGTCAAAAATAGGGTCTTTTCTAGCATTATACCTTAAGATAATTCCATGAGTGAGGAGTTCAACCTTTTGAAAGGAATTTGCTTTTTATTTTGATAGTTCTAAATTGGCTATAACCATTTAATATGCTATATTTTACATGTAACAAACCAACTTAGCCTCATTTTCCTGTTGTTGGCAAGTTTTAGTAGAATAGCAATCTGACTTGAATGTTTTTCTGGTGAGGTATTCTAACTAGATATTTTGTTTCAGTCTTAAATAAAGCTAAAACAAAGGGGATGGAAAAATTAGATCGGTTGTTCAATACGTATGCAAATAGTTCCTTAGGCATGATTGAGTAAGTACATTCTGTCTACATTCTTTATATTTCTTGATCTACCGGTATGGTGGTATCGACATTTTGCTCTGACTCAATGGTGATTGGTGTTATCATTTATGAATACAATAGAATAAAAGGCCAAACCAAGCTCTTATCATTTTTCAAGGTCAACATCTCTCAGCTTTTGGTTTGTAAAGGTGTTACATTTAATTATCATCTGTTTTAAATTGTCTTGTGAACAAAATGTCAATGAAAAGCTTGTGAACCTTGTTAAAATTGTTGGTTGAACGTAATTTCTCACAGTTTGTTGTATGTTTTGTAGATATATTTCATATCAAAGCATTGACAATAAATGCTTCCACTAAGAATTCATTGGGTAAAAAAGTTATATGTTCCCTTGGGAATGGGAAGAATGTGCTGTGCCATTTTATTTTATTTTTTAAAAATAATCTTTGTCTGAATTTGAAAGAAATTCTGATTGTTTTGATGCGAGGCTATACACTGCCACAAACCTGATTTGTCTGAAAAAATTAACATAAGCCCCATTGGGAGAACAAAGAGGATTTTCTTTAGATTATATTGTGCTTCTCCTTTTTATAATCCCTTAGTTTGCTTGAGCAGTCCAGAAGGTATTGAAGCACTATGTGCAGATCTAGGAGTGGACTACACTGATGTGAGGATATTGATGCTTGCTTGGTATGTATTTGGTGCACAATGATCGGACCCCCTGTTTGGTGGGAGTTTCTTCTAATAATATTTTATATGTATTCTGCATCCCTCAGGAAATTAAAAGCTGAAAAACAGGGATATTTTACACAGGTAAGTAACTCTACTTGTATGACTTGCTGCATTCAATGGATACCATAATAGAGAACGTGAACAGCCATTAGATGAATGACCTATTTTTTCCTTCTCCTGCACTGAACCAGGATGAGTGGCAATCTGGCCTGAAAGCATTGGGCGTTGATTCACTTAGCAAACTAAAAAAAGTACTTCCTGAACTGGAGAAAGAGGTAGTTGTATCTGCTGTAATAGTCATTGCCACCATTTTAAACTCATTTTCTAATTGACAAATTGATGTAGGAAACGTGGCACACAAACTATTCAGAAGTCTTAATAATTCTGAAGATTACAAACAAAGTCATCAAATATAAAATAGAGCTCTAGACAACTTAAATGTTCTAATTACGATATCTCTATTTTCATTCAGAAGTAGGTGGTTTGGTGGTAGTACTAATTTTATATTTTATGCATCTGAAAATAGGTGGAAAAGCCATCGAATTATGAGGATTTCTATATCTATGCCTTCCGATACTGCTTGACAGGTTCCTATTAATTGAATGAAAGCAGCCTTTTTCCCCTCCATGCACATATTCACTTGACAGGATTACCTTTTAATAAAAATCTTACACTTATCCACTGCACCAGAGGAGAAGCAAAAGAGTGTGGACATTGAAAGCATCTGTGAGTTGTTGAACCTTGTTCTAGGGGTCCAATTTCGTCCTCAGGTTGATTCACTGGTTGAATATCTGAAGGTAGGAAGCCAAGTCTCTTTATGAGGCTGTTTTTCTTTGATCTTTAGATAGTGAAATGCCTGATTAGATTCACTCTTAATTATTAGAACATGCTCGCTTATGATGCTTGGACTTTGAATTTCTGGCAGGTCCAGAATGACTACAAAGTAATAAATGCAGACCAATGGATAAATTTTTTTCGTTTTTGCAAAGAGGTAAACCTTTAGCCTTTTGAAAATGCACTAGTTGTAGAACGAAAAATAATCATCCTGGATTCATTTTCTGATGGTTGACTTGTGTACTTATTTATATCGCATTGATAGAATGAACCATTTATGATATTGGATGGAAAGGCAATTTGTTTTCCCCCTTCCCTCTATCAATCTGTGGTCACTTTTTATAACTTTGAATCCTTGCTAGCAGATTAGCTTTCCAGATCTGGAAAACTATGATGAAACCCAAGCATGGCCCTTGATTCTTGATAATTTTGTCGAATGGATGAGAGAAAACCAAAGCTAGTGTAGGCATCTTTCTTATGTCTTGCAAATTCATAAGGTAAACGCTCTCTTTCTCTGTGTATGCTGATACCCTTGAAAGTATTAAATGAAGGATAAAATTTCATTTTGTTCATCTGCAACAGGACAAGACCTTGTGGGAAACATAACCGCATCAACCTTGGAGTTGGTTCATATCATGACTGATTTTACTGAACCAGTTTCTCCTGGTTAAGTTAAAGCTAAAGCTACAATTTTGTTGTCCTGCCACGGTTTATACATACTGTATTCATTAATATTTATTTCTTTTTTCCTTGTTAAAGCTATTTTATTGAGCTAAGAAGAAAAGGATTCGTTATTCAATGAAGGATAATTTTATTACAAAATATTTTTATATTTAAACCATGTTTTTCCACTTCTATAGATACCAAGGGAGTTTCAATCTTCATTAACCAAGAACCCATGCTCTTGAAGCTGCAAAAAAAAAAAACATCTATCAAAGCACAAGAAGTTCAATTTTCAATCAACTAAATAGTGTTAAAATACAAAAAAATGTTATAGAGAATTTCCACTGTGTATAAGGATCAAAGGCCCAAAAGAAATAGGCACGAATTCTAAGTGTTTGTGCAACCTCAATCTTCAACGTTGCTGTTATTGTAACGTCCTAATCCAATATAATCTAAAGATCGATGAATCAAAGTGTCACATTAGTAGACTATTGAAGTGATTAACCTAAAAAAATTCTTTAAAAAAAAACAATTAAGACATCCATAATAATAATAGCAAAATGAAATCATAGTATTGATTTAGAACGGGAGCCCCAAAATACATTCTAATTAAGTTTAATCAATATTTTAAAATACAATTACGACTCAAATACAAGAAGGTCCATGTACGATACATGCCCTTATAAATATACTCAAGACGTATTCAAAAAGCTGGCTCCGGTCTGGAAAACGGACTATGTAATGGCTTCTCGAACGCTCATCCTAAGAACATGTGCACGAAAACAAATTATGAATATTGAGCTCACAAGTTCAGTGTCATACTAATAACCAAACTATACTACATGTGTCCTTTACATGCACATGCTAGTAAACTTAAATATTAGCATATGAAGATGCTAAGCTAAACATACACATTGAGGTAGCCATTATGGTGTGGTCGGAGGGTTTCACTACATCTCAGAGACATACACCCCTCTAGCCTATCTAGGGTGAACTCTGAAATTTCTACATCGGAAACTTTCACCATAACGATCAACTCCTTACTAGTACTTGGGGCATCTACGCCTGATTGGTAAGAAGTGCCCTGTACACTAATTGAGACTTGTTCGGACATTTCTAACAAACAAACGTTCACCTTGCTACTAAAGTTTCTCGGATGTCCTGGTTGTTTCCCAAGTATCATACAATACTAGTTTTATGATTGCCTATTTTTAGCTCGTTTCTAGATGTGATTATAATTATTAGTTCCTACTTGGAATCTTATTTGAGAGGTTTTGATGGCCTTTACTCGTCCTACCCAGATACTTAAAACGAATAGGGTTTCTTATCCAAATAATGACGAGGGTACTGATACTCTTAGTTGGAGTATCGATACTGGGACACTAAGGTATTGATATTGCCCTTTGTATAGATAACAAATTTAGTTTCGATGTTCTGGAAAATCCCCGGCATCGTACTCCTAAATATAGTATCGATACTTCTATATGAGAGTGTCGATATTGCCAAGAGTATCGATACCAAAAATAGCTTCGGAGTTTTGAAAATTAACCCAGTATGGATATCCCTACTGGGAGTATCGATACTCGACCCTTAGTATCGATACTCCTTTGAGTACCGATACCAAAATTAGCTACTAGAATTCTAAACCTGTGGATGATATCAATATTACCCCTTGAGTATCGATACCTAAAGACCAATATTGATACTCATTGAATGAATATCGATACTCTAGACCTAAGCAACTTATACACTTAGACTATACGGAGAACAACATCGGTACATTTCTTCCAGTACATATACCTAAACCCAGGAATACCCGATTTTGGGCATGAAAATGCCACCTAACACTACCCATTTGCCCCCTTAAGATCACCAAATGATGTTTAAGTCTTATGTAAGTTTCTAAGAGTCATAAAAAGTCATTTTTACTTAGAAACACTTCAAATTAGAATATACCATAGACATGCCCATATACTTCATAAACTAATGCAAGCTAAGCAAGGGCACTAAAAGGTTCACAAATGGTATAGGAAGGTTTGAAATGTGTTACATTTGAGTCTTGACTGCTGAGAAACATCCCTCCTCAACCAAGGATCAACTTCCCCTTGCCTCTAGCATTAGAGCTTTCTCCACCCTCTTTTACTAATCAAAGATGATGGAAATGAGTTACTAACTTATTTCAAAGACCATAATGAACTTAAGAACACTTCCCTAAACTCAAACTTACCAAAAACGAACGGGAAATCCTTAACTTTCAAAAACCCCAATTAAAACCCCAACTAAGGCTTTGGTGACCAAACTTAGAGATTGAGAGCTTAAATGGAAGCTTGAGGTGGTGAGGATTTTGATTCTGTCACAAACGGAGGAGAAGGTCAGGGCGAAGGAATCATGATCGAAGCGAGAGAAGTGGTGAGGATGAAAGAGGAATTAGGGATTTTAGATTTTGGGGCAGATTTGAGAAAAAAAAAAGGAGAGAAGTCACATGAGCTACAAATGGGTCATGAGGAAATTAAAGGAGCAAGCCCATATTCAATTAACAGCCCAGCGGAGGATAAGTTTGTTATGCCATTGTCCAACTGTCAAGGTGATATTGGTCATAGCACATTGTAAGCAAATAAAACCATGTACTGAGGGAAAGAAAAATCTATCAAAAGAATGAATGAAGAATAAGTTTTCTGTAATCCCTTTCTTTCTCTTCTAAATCTCACGTATTTCTCTTCGACTCACGTTTTTTATTTCTCCAGTTCACAGTAGATTCTTACCTTGCAAATTACGTTCTGAGTTTGTAAGACTATCAAGTTTTCACCTTGAAATTTTTGAAAAAAGAGAAAAGAGAGGATTTGAAAGAAGGAAGAAGAAGTTGAGGGGACAAAGTCGATGACATAGGCATCCCATAGATGGGATCAACCTTTTGGAAGATTTTAAGGGTTATTCATCACTTGGTCCTTCCATTTTTGGTCAACTTCTAAAAGGGACATTTTTAGGTCTAGTTGAGCTTGAACCCAATTCATGAGAAGCCTGTATGAACCCAACACACTATAGAAATGCTACACGGTTGGCTCTAAAGCCCATTTGGGTTACCCGGAATTTAGGGCGTTACAGTTATATAATTATCATACCCAACCCAAGTTGAACCGACATAAGAATATGTTGACACACTATCCATGGCATGTTCTATAATGGCATCATTCTTCTTATTGAACTCCTCTACTTCTTAACTCAAAGAATGATCCCAGTAATAAAAGAAAATATTGTTATCTCCAGGTAATCTAAATCCGAGTAATGTTGTCTATAGTGTGTGTAAATTCATCTAGATTTGAACCAGACACATACTGCCTCGTGGTCATATTACAATCTTAAAAAAAAAAAAACTCATATACCTCCATACACGTTAACACCCCATCATCTCCTGGCCCTACTGCAATTCCATCTTCCATGATAGTAGGCAGTCTCACCGGGGCTCCAATTCTGAAATCTGTGGATCATTGAATGAGCAAATTTCTTGTTGTGATGCGGACGTACTTCCTGTATTTTTATCTGCTTTCACAGAGAAAGCCGGTCTTTTAGGAGTAGTAGCCGCAGTAGAATCATTTTTAAGCATGCTGAACACTTCTAACATGGTTGGTCTATCATCTGGATTCTCTTGCACGCAAAGCAAAGCGACTTGCATACATCTCATGATTTTACAAGTCGAAGATGAATCATCAAGTGATGTATCGATAAACTCGAGGCCTCTATCATCGCCCCACAGTTCATACGCCTGCAAATCAACAAATTCCTTTGTCAATCATTGAATTAGCACCAATTTTAGATGAGAAAGAATCCATGGCCAGGACGGATTGTTTTTGCATCTCAAAAAATGAAATTCATGGCAATTAACTTACATATTCAAGAAGGGTTAAGCTCTCCTGTGGGCCATAATAGCATGTGTTCCTCTTGCCACTTATGATTTGCAGAAGAAGAACTCCAAAGCTGTAAACATCATACTTAATGGAGTATATACCTTTTCTCACATATTCTGGAGGAACATAGCCACTGCGTTGAAATGTGTTTTCCATTAAAATGCTAAGCAAATTAAGCATACATCACGAGAAAGGATCAAAGAAAGCTCTTCTTTGAACAAGGTTTTAGCTTACTATGTTCCAACAATTCTATCAGTGTTTGCTTCATTTACATCCTTGTTGAAAAGTCTAGCCATCCCAAAATCTGCTATCTTGGCGTTCATATCGTAATCCAGCAATATGTTACTAGCTTTTAGATCCCGATGAATCAACGTAATATTCGAATATTCTTGAAGATACAACAGTCCTTGAATGATCCCTTCAATGATGTGCACACGCTTTTCCCAATCTAAAACATACCGCCTGATCGGATCTGGATGAAAAGTTCAGAAGCCGAAGACAACAAAACGAGAAAATCCCACCTTAGATTATGTTACGAAGAGTAAGAATTATGTACAACATGTGCTTTAAACTGTAAGTGAAGACTTAAAATCAGCTTATAGCCTACCATAGAGATAGAGATCTAAGCTTTTATTTGGCATGTATTCATATATCAGCATTTTTTCCTCCTTCTCAGTGCAATATCCCAACAGCCTTACTAGATTTACATGTTGAAGCCTGGCTGTCAATGTAACCTCATTTTGGAACTCCTCAGCTCCTTGAGTCGAAGTTTGGGAAAGTCTCTTCACTGCAATTTCCTGCCCTCTAGGTAACTTGCCCTATAAAAATTCAAAAGGGATACTTAATCATTATTTGCTGGTATCTGCAAATTAGCTTCAGCATTGAATGTAAATGCATCAAAGCTTATATACTAAACAAAGGTTGTTTTATTGACCTTGTATACGGGACCAAAGCCACCTTCTCCAAGCTTATTCGCACTCGAGAAATTATTTGTAGCTGCTTTGATGTTGGAAAACTTGAACACTTGCAAATGAGAAGCATAACTGCCAAAACTTTCAGCAGCTGATAAGTTAACTCTTGGGCTAGGAATGGTTCCTAAAGCCATTTCCCCTGTAAAAAGGAACCAAAAAAAGTGCCAGGAAAAACCAGAATAGTAAAAAGAACCTTTCCTTTTTTGCATTGCTAACAATCAGACCATATGCTCTCATTATGTTCATAGTTCGAGGCAATTACCTTCTGATTTAACCTTTCTTCTTCGCAAACAATACAGCATAGCCACCACTGCAATGATAGCAATCAGAGAAACTGGAAGGATGATTTTAAGCAACAAATGCTTCTTGTTTCCTTGATTTTCTCCCTCTTGAGCTGCCAATGTAGTTTAGCAGCATATTAATCAGAATTTGTCGTCAAAATTGATAAACTTCTCGGTATCGACTTTGTTTACTTTACCTATGATTGATTTGGTTGAAAGCTATATATTTAGCTACATAAAACAGAAAATATTAACAAAATCCCAACTCTCTAATGCAGAGTGCTTAAGCTCAAAATCTTCTGAGATTGTTGAAAACTCCTACCTGCCCGTGTGAGCATCCAGTTGTCGTCATTCGAAAGCTGAAATGCATTGAAACCGGCGAGTTTTCTATCCTTTGAATAGGAAATTTTGGCTCGGACAGCCTCCTCTCCATCAAAATTGATCCAAATTGTTGGGGAAGTGAACAAATTCACTCCATAAGTTGCATTGTATACACTAGCAGCTCCATAACCATAATCTCGAATATAAGATTGAATGGCTTTGTACCCCATGGAACCATCCATGGTGACCGCTGGACCCGAAGCCGGTGCACCAACTGCATTATCTTGGCTGTTCACCAACTTCCATGCATATCCATGGTAAGGCAAACCCAAAACCAGTTTGCTTGGTAGCATTCCTTTATTTAACCATTCACTGATGCCAAAATCTGTACTAACATTACTAGATGGATCATACAAAGCAGCATGGACGCCTGTAAAATTCTCCCTTGTTGGCAAATGGTAATCATATGCCACAACATGTGCCCAATCAACGTTTCTTCTTATAGAATCGATTGGATAAGTTACCGTTCCAATTGTTGGCAAATAACGAATGGCTATTGTTAATATCAATGGCGACTCACCTGGTTTTCTAGGCTCTGAGTTAATGGCAGCTCGCCATTCATCTAATAAAACACCAATATTGGACAAATCTGTGCTGTTAGGCCAAACCCAGAACAAGTCTATTCCTTGAAAAGCATAACGCCTAGCTGCTTTCATGGAGGAATCAATGAAAGACTTCCTTGTAGAAGATGTTGAGACCATTGAAGATAAAACTGAGTCGTTAACCTTTTCACCTGATATAGATTTCCCTGTTGCGGATATCCCATTCCAGACGGATAACAGTGGTTTAACCGATGGATTTCTTCGTTTGACTGTGGTTGCAAACGTTGAGAAATATTGTTCGGAGGCAGAGGGGATAGAGAGCTGATAATTTGAGGCGTTCACTTCAGCAAAGGCACATGAAAGATGAGTGAACAAAGCTGAATTTATGTCTTGTATGGGGAATTCACCATTAGCGTACCAGTAACCACCTTTAATCCAAGTTTGTGCACCGGAGAAGTGGGATTGAGAAGAAAGGAAGAAGATGAAAATAAGGAAGAAGATGGGTTTGGATGCCATAGGAAACTACAGTACAATGTAGAAAAATCTTCCAGGTTTCACATTTTAACTGTAACTCTAGAATTAAACAGCCCTCCCCATTTACTTGTACTTAGATTCAAGGACACCTACGCTTACTTGAAAACGAAAAGCAATGCTCCAAATTCCAAACCAAACCCCAGTTCTCATACGTTACTGTCTTAATTGGCCGGTCGCATACGACGAACCCACTGTTAAAATAGGCTTGGTTAGGTCTTATATTTCGTTCTTTCTGTCACAGCCAGAGGCTTATCAAACTCCATGTTCAATTATGGGAGTTCTTTGATGATGGGTCGACACGTGTATGGAAACAAACAAGCAAACGTACCACATAATCATTTTCTCTTTTAGTTTTAGTATTTTAAACAAAACATTTTATATACAATTTAAATGGTTCTTAGAAAATTAAATTAAAATAATTTTTTCTATTTAGTTCATTTTTAATAAAATGGAGAATTAATTGTACAAATGATTTGTATTGTTTATAAAGAAAGAAAGCGAAATGTCTCTAATTATGCTTGAAAATAAATTTTAAAAATTATAATATGTATTTTAATAATATAATATCATTATACTGATTGCATCTGTCTAAAATTCTTTTTAGCTATTGACAATATACTAATCTTATAGATGTAACTGTTAAAGTCATGATCGTTAAAAAAAATAACATTCATTCTTAACCACAGAGATCCCTTAACAACCTTAACTAATTATAATATTCATATCCTAATCAACAAATTGTATCAGATAATACTTTAATAATTTTTACATATACAACATAAAAAATCTCATAAACATATTAATTCATCATTAACAATACAAATTATTTTTTATATGTTTTTTTTGAAATACTTTGTATTACTTATCTTAACTTCAATTTTTCTGATGCCCAACCTCCAATCCTCCATGCATGCATAAAAACATTATGAATAATCCTAAATTCGACATCCAAAACTAAACCGTTCCTTAAACTTCCGGTGAAAACATTATTTATTATGATAATTAAATAAAAATATGTATAAAAGGGTTAACTACAGGAATAATCATTTATGTTTGTGTTTTGTCCGCTTTTGATCACTGATTTCAAAAATACATAAGATATGGTTGATTTCGTTTTTATTTAATTAAGATATAGTCACTTTTATTTTTTTATTTATTTAAGATGTAGTCACTACGGATTAACTGTCGTTAACAGATTAAGTGATGTGATATTTTGGTATAATATCACATATCACATTTTGTCAATATTATTTACATATTTTCTTAATTTAGTCATACTTTTAATAAATTTAATCCTCTTATCGAATGGTGTCACGTGTTAATGGTGTCATGTGTCACCATTATGTTAGAGGACTAAATTTATTTCAATTTAATATATTTATTTTCCACCAATTTACTTTGCTTTGTTAAATAAAAATAAATTAAATTAAAATAAAGTTAGTCTTCCAATCGAATGGTGACATGACACAACACGTGGTACCAATGACAGTGACATCATTCGATTAGAAGATTAAATTTATTTTAATTTATTAAAAGTATGGCTACATTGAGATAATATGTAAATAATAGAGATCAAATGTGTGTTATACCAAAATATTTAACGACAATTAACTCATGGTGACCACATCATAAGTAAATAAGAACGAAGTGACCATATCTCATGTATTTTGAAATCGATGACCAAAAATTGGCAAAATAAAAACATAAATGATCACTCATGTAGTTATCCCTTTTTAAATATATACATATATATGTGGTGAAAACAGAAAAGAAAACAAAGAAATATTATCTCATGAAATCAAACGACCATTTAAAATTGAATGAACGGTTGACCTTCTTAATGAAAGAATAGTACCAATAAAACAAATGCTAAGCGCGTTACTCCTCCACGCGCCTACTCTCAGTTTGCTCTGCTTTTCGTCCTCCCTTCAGCCTCAGCCAAAGCCCCGCCCTTCCATGGCTTCCTGTTCTCTCGTTCGTATCGCCGTTGTCGGAGACGTCGTAAGTTCACCCCTTTCCTCCGTCGGCTTTCCTTTTCATAATTTAATCTTACGTATCATATTGAAATTTTCCTTTCGTTTTTCTTTCTTTCTAAATTTGGGTTTTTATTGAAGCACGATGATTGGGACCTTGAAGAAGACACGAAGGCACTTCAATTTCTCAAGGTAATTTTAAAAGCTAAAGTTTAACAAAGTTTGGATTTTGAGAGAAGAAAACATAAGGGTTCTACTTTAATGTGAAAAGTGAAAATAAACGAAAGTTAGTTTGCTAGATCGATTTGGGTGCTTGTAATTAACTCGGCGCTCAAGCTTTGGGAATTTTAATCCCAAATTGCTTGATTACATGTGTTAAATAAAAGTGTACAAATTGCCTGATTACATCTCATAGATGATAGATCCGATTGATTGTTTAAAAAGATTCCACTCAATTAAAGATTCGTTTTTTAGTGTTTTTTTTCTTTACATGAACTCTTTTTGAGGTTTGAAAGTTTTCATATAGATCTCGTTACCTATCTGATGAGAGATTTTGTGAAAATGCAGCCCGATTTGTTGCTCTTCACAGGCAGGTTCCTCTTTCCTCAGTGTATATCGACCCAATTTGTGCTATGAGTATTCATCTTTGGAGTCTTCCCTCTAATTTTTTGCCGGCTCCAATTGGTGAGTCAAGTAGAAAATATCCATGCATTGTAACCGCGTCGAGGCTAGACTGTTTTGCCATTTGACACTCCTGAATATTTCTGGTACACTCAAGAATTTTTCGTTCATTGAAAAGAAAATAGATAACTGAAGATTATGCGCCTAATCAATGCGACCAATGTCTAGCTCTTGCTCTAACTGAACAACTTATTACATTTGTTTCCCAAAATCTAACCCTGTAGGATGTAAATCTTTTGCTATCCTTTTTTTCCTTTGTTCACATGCTTTTCCTATATTCAGGTGATTTTGGTAATGAGAATGTCGAACTAGTTCAAAATGTTGCAGCTCTCAACTTTCCAAAAGCAGTTATTTTGGGAAATCATGATTCTTGGAGCACTCAACAGTTTTCTTCTAAGTAAGTTACTCATGCCCAATGGATTTACTAATATGTTTGTGGGGAGTGTTCGGATTTTGATTTGGCGGTTCCTGTGCATGTTTAATGTAGCTAGTTTTGTGTTAGACAATCTAATGATTTCTAATCCAGGACGTCTTTTCATGATTAGGAAGAAGGATCGAGTTCAACTTCAGCTAGAATGGTGAGCTTTCCTGATATATAAAAAAGGAATTTTAAGAATGCATGCTTCTGTAATTTTCTATATTCCATCTCGTTTTCCATGCTGGATGCTAACTGTGAAAATTTGAGGCTTGAATTATTCAGGTAAAGTGTGTTTCAAATCCCAATATAATTCTAGGCTATAATGATCTTCTGTTGCCAAATGTTGAATAATAATAATAATAATAATAATAATAATAATAATAATAAAATGTGAACATGTGGATGTCGGACTTTGGCTACAATCAGAGTTAATTGTATCCATCACCATATGAACTTTTGGTTATAATCATTTTTAAGTCGTAGAATTCAAAGTGCATCAGTTCATAATAATGCTACTTTCTTGGTATAGTCTTGGACAGGAGCATGTAGGTTATAAACGTCTGGACTTTCCTTTACTAAAGCTCAGTGTTGTTGGTGGACGGCCATTTTCATGTGGGGGTCAGCGAATATTTCGGAAAAGGCTTCTGTCTGCAAGGTAGTATTGCATAGTGGCAGCTATTTGTTAGTTTAGTATCTGTTTCTTTGACCTTCTATCCTTTTTTTGTTTGTGTGTTTGGTCCTTTTACTCTTTCCCTCTAATGACTTCATTTTTTGCAATTTGAACTTATCTATTATTTCCATTTCTAGAAACTGTTGCTTGGCTTATCCGTTCATTTTGCAAAACACTTGAATTGACTTTATTAGATATTAACTCCTCCGTAACCTAATGAGCTAGCAAATTAAACTGGCAGTTCTAATGGGATTGTGATCGGGAAGTCTTGCTCGTCTCAGAATTTTTATTCATGTTGTAATTTACCAAATTGGAGTGTCATTTAGGTATGGAATCCAAGAGATGGATGAAAGTGCCAAGAGAATCTATAAAGCTGCACTTGGGACCCCAGAAGATCATCTAGTTATACTTCTTGCACATAATGGACCTACAGGTGTATGGACTTGGCAATTCAACCTTTATTTAAGACCAATTGATTTTTCCTATAAAAATAGGTGTTACTTTTTGTAGGCCTGGGCAGTGAATTGAATGACATCTGTGGAAAAGATTGGGTGTTTGAAGGTGGTGATCACGGTGATCCAGGTAATTTGTCAGGATTTGGCTCCTTTCAGTGCAATGTTCCAACTTTCTTTCAAAATGATTAGTTATTTCGCTCTGTAGTGTGCTTAGCAAGATTGGTAGAAAAATATGACTCTGAAGACCGGATGTAGGAGCATGAAAACTAATGTATCAAATGTCTTTCGTCGTGCAATTTATTTGCCTATGATGAGAAAAAAATCACTGGCCTCGTGTCGAGCTAACAAAAATATTTCTGGTACAGATCTAGCACAAGCTATCTCCCACTTGAAACAGACTGCTACCTTCTCTATTCCACTTGTCGTGTTTGGTCACATGCATAAAGAATTGGCACATGGGAATGGTCTTCGCAAAATGATTGTAGTTGGTTCTGATGACATTATATACCTGAACGGAGCCATAGTTCCCAGAGTGAGACCTATAAATAAGACCCCGCTGCAAGCATCCAATTCTGATGGTACCAACAGAGCCTTCACTTTAGTTGAGATATCAAATGGACAAGTGGATAAAATTTCCGAAAGCTGGGTGTCCGTTGTGGGGGATGAGACAACATTAGAAGAAGAGCACATACTCTTCAAATCGAACGGACAGTCTTCTCTGTGATTGGATTCGAGTTTGACTACTTACACGCGACAGAATTAGTATGTGAAACAATACTCTGAATCTTGCTTTCTAATCATCCTTATGTAGCAGGAATGCGACTTTTATCTTAACTGGTAAAGAATTGTTAATGTGAAATATTGAAATATAGAGTTGTAGTTCATACTTTACATGTCTGAAATGGGCTAGCTTTCAGCTTATAGTATTGTTTTGTTGACAACTCGAAACAGGGTCTGAGATAGTCGTTGGATCCCTAACTAGTATGATTATAAATGAACAGAACATTTGCTCAATAGTTTCTAACCAGCTCGTTTCACTTACGGCTCAACCGGCTGGTACTTTGCAAGGGGGACCCTCTGGCTTAGTATCATTTTGCTTTTCCTCCCTCAAAAGAAGTATATTCTTTGGTAAGAGTGTGGTGAAAGGAAAGGGAGAAATCATGAGAGAAATCAGGTGGCAATGGTTGACCAATTTGTTCTGAATAAAAAAGTGAGCATGAAATTTTTATATATTCAATTCCATTACCTAGATTTCTTCAATAATGATTATAGGCTCATGGCACTAATAAAAATATATTATCAATGGACTCTTTTCCTTTTGTGAAACACCTTATTAAACAGATCACTTTCCTTTTCCTGCCAGTTGCGTATGCTAGCATATTTTCAGAACAAAACTTTATTCTTCATGTCTTTGGTCATATTACAATATATTTATTATTTGGGCAATCTTTTAGATAATGTGTTGGTCGTATAATTTTGGGAAGATGCATCGAGTATAACGCCTCTCTCATATATATATATTTGGATTTTAAGATTTAATGTTTAGATTTAAGGTTTAGGATTTAGGATTTAGGATTTAGGATTTAAGGTTTAGAATTTAGGGTTTGGGTTTAATTTTGACTATTATTGGAGCACTATGTGTCTCCCAATTAGAATCGCTTTGTGTTCCTTATGTTTTAGGAGTTACTGTAGCATACGTATTATTCGAACAAACAAATAATTTTGGTCCACTATTATTTAAGTAATTTTTTTCACATCGTTACTGTAAAAAGTAAGCCTTTATTCTTTATTCTTTATGTCTTTGGTCATATTCTTTTTTCTATATTTATTACATATTACAGTATATCCTTTAAAATAATTGAAATAATAACGATATCAATGTATTTTCACAATTACTTCCATCATTCACAATGACTTTATAATATATATCTCTTACTGAATTCCACGTCAAAAAATGAATCAAATGATTGTTGAGCAATATGCGGGTGGAGACCCAAACTCTTATTTTCTGACGAACTGTATATTTTACTGCCAAGTAAAAACCCTAACGCTTTATTGATTTAATACAGTAATTCTTTTTTAGAAAAAAAGGTAATTTTTGGATGGCCACCAAACAGTAAAAAAGCTGTAGTGGAAAATGGTCAAAGGTTGAAGACGTTTGTAACAAAAACATGGGCTGAAATTGAGCTCAAACAAAGCAAAGAAAGAAAGAAATGTGGGATTCTGACGTGGTTTCACTCAAATCTTATCTCCTTTCCAAAAGAGCCCGCCTGCCTTTGACCGAATCTCAGCCGTCCATTCCTTTTAAGTTTTAGTAATTTATTGGATTATACTCTAAGGGGGCACTAGATTTTAGGAACTGCCCATTGTTTTGGATTAAGGGAACATTGAAATGTAAGGAATTAAAAGTCAAAAACACCCTTCAATCAGTTATATCCTCAACCCTTCAGTTGATCATAAATTTGAGGCTAAATTTCTTTTTTAGCAAGTGAAATGCCAAATTAGTAAAGGGTAAGATGGACAAGTAGAAAATCCAAAACTAGGTATGTCAATTAGGCGATGAAAAAAATAGGAGGCAGATCATGACGAAGACATCCGTGGCTTCTTCTAATCTCCTTGAAAGCAATTAAAAACAAGAGCTTATTATCTAGCAATAGTATAGATGTATTTCTAGGCATATGTCCCCCTCCAGCAGGACTTCCAGCTCAGCCGCTTAGATCGGAGCCATTCCCTTTCATGAATTCCTTCGATTCTTAAACCATCAAAACCCCAAAAACAGAAATTTTGCCAAAACATCACAAAATGAATACTTGCCGCGTATTTTGATCATTGCATGTCTTATCCGGTTTCGTATCTGAAAAAAAGAAAGAGAAGGAACTGGGCTTTTTTGTTCTACAGCGTTGTGTTGGTGATAATGGGGAACGTGACGTCGGGTATGGCGGCAAAGTTTGCATTTTTCCCACCGGATCCACCGACGTATGATGTTCGCCGGGAAGAAAACGGGAGGCTGGCTATGCCGGGGATCACAGCTGACATGAACATGGATGTTCATTTGCTCGACACCAAAGGCAGCAATAAGATCGTGGCAAACTTTTGGAGACACCCCATTGCCAAGTTAACCCTCTTGTATTCCCACGGCAATGCCGCTGATTTGGGCCAAATGCATGAACTCTTCATCGAGCTCAGGAATCACCTCCGCGTCAATATCATGAGGTACCTTTCGTCCTTTCCTTCATTTGTTTATCTTTGATTTTCCACTTTTTTTCCTTGGATTTTGATCATATTCAACTGCTTCGTTTTTTCCCATCTTTTTTAACAGTTACGATTATTCAGGATATGGAGGATCATCTGGCAAGGTAAAATAACATATTAACGTAAATCTTTATTCATCTTTTTACCCGTACGTCTAAATTTATACTATCTGATAATTTGGAATAGCCAACCGAGCTCAACACATATTATGACATAGAGGCAGTGTACAATTGTTTGAAGAATGAATACGGGATTAAGAAAGAAGATTTGATAGTATACGGGCAGTCCGTTGGAAGTGGACCGACCCTACATTTGGCTTCTCATTTACAAAGACCAAGGGGGGTTGTTCTTCATAGTGCCATTCTTTCAGGCATTCGAGTCCTTTATCCTGTCAAGATGACATTTTGGTTCGACATCTTCAAAGTAAGTTACTAGGTTTCCATTTTCTTTCCTCTAAAACAATAACTCGCCTTGAAACTGACAAGTCATGCACCCTTGTCCAAATACTTGCAGAACATAGACAAAATCCGACGAGTCAACTGTGCGGTTCTGGTTATACATGTAAGTATCTGAGTACGTGGATTTGAAAGAAGATCGTTGTGGTTTATTGATGCTTGTAGTTGCAGGGCATGAGTGATGAGATTGTGGATTGGTCTCATGGGAAACGATTATGGGAACTTTCAACGGAGAAGTACGAGCCTTTATGGGTGAAAGGTGGTGGCCATTGCAACTTGGAGACTTATCCCGAGTACATTAAACATCTTCGCAAATTCATAAATGATATGGAGAAGATTCCCATTCCGATCACGAATCCGGAGAAAGAACTCGATTCTAAACCGAGTCTGGAAGAATCTAAACACAGCGGATGCTTGAGACTTAAGAAAAGGCTATCTGGACCCAAAAAAGAGGAGCGCGACCGAGAGTTGGGAAGAGGGTAGCAGATCATTGTCTCTCCCCTACCATTCATCCGGCGCAGCCATGGTTCTAGAGCTGATAGGAACCGTAGATTTTGAATCATTTGTGGGCTTTGTTCCATCAGAATATCAGAGAGAGACGTGTGGTTCTGGGTCTAGGGTTTCTTGTATAATTTTTACCAAGTGAAATATAGAACTTAAATGATCCTCGAAATTTTCCCAGGACTAATATTGTCCGAACCTCCATTGAAGAGGCTCCCAGGTGCATAAATTCTTGTGTTTTTTTCCTACCCAAACCGATTCATCGTTTCTCAGCATCTGGAACAGGCTTAGGCTTGAAGACCAAAATGGCCCAAAGATTGAGTGCTATCTCAACGACCACAAGAATTGGCTAAAGAATTCAAACTTCTTTTGTTTGAATAGAAGACGATAATCTTATAGAAACATCCAAAATTACAACGAGGATTTAAATTCATCATTGTAAATTAAATATATAATTTAAATATTTTTCTATAATATCGAATTAGTCACTTTAAATTATATAAATATTATATATAGAAATGGTTAAAAACTCAATCAAAAGATTCGAACAAAAATATATATGAACAAATCTGACTGCATCGACAAACGAACTATAAAAGAGGATTAAACTATTGAAAGACCACCAAGAATCGCAAATCAGAGCTGAGTATCGTGAGAAACTATCCACTAACGTAAAATTATGTATCAAAATTCAATTCGATGGTCTACAACATGGAAGATCAATATGATTACAATTAAGCGTCATCTTAATTAGTCATTATCAAATCCAACTTTGAGAAAGAAAAAAAGGTCAAACGACTCAGAAAAATGATGAAAAATGTGTTACAAATATATAGAAAAAACATGTCACACATGTAAAACTATTCTTATTAAAAAATTAAAAAAGAAATAGAGAAAAATAGAATCGACGATTGATAATAACATCAAAATCAATGTCATCGTCAACTAAATAAAGTTGAAAAAGAAAAAAGTTGATCTAATATATGGAAAACAACACAAATCTTAAGAGAGAGAAAAAACAACTAAGGTAAAGCTCAGAGAACGACTAGGGTTGTATATGCGAGAAAACTTAAGAAATTTTTTTTTGGAAAAATATGTGGACCTCGTTAATAACCCCTCCTCCTAACACGAATTTGAGTCCTATAAGAGGAAGAGAGTGCCCAACCATTATTGATGTGAGCCATTGATTCGCTTCTCTACGAATGTGCGAAACAATGCAACTAGTGAATTGGGTACATTTGGAACGAACAGATTGAATGAGTAATCCTAACGTGGAATCATCATTCTCGCCACTATTGAACTTAGACACAACCATCGCGGAATCAAGTTCAATAACAATCCATTGTCATCCTTCTTCTATTGCGATTGACTGCGACAGTGAAACTATGAGTCTCAGTGAGAACGAAGTCGTAACAACCAGCAGACGTGATTGCAATACTACTTAAGACCTTCCTCCGAGCGTCTCGAGCAACTACACCAATGGCCGCTAATCTGTTGATCGGATTGTAAACACAATCTGCAATAAAACTTAAGAAATTAGTGGCGGATTTAGACCTTTTTTTTCTCTTACATGATATGATTATTATTTTATCATTCTACTATTTTAATATTAAACGATAGTTAAGGTTGAATGGCTGGAATTGAGCTAAATTTAATAGGAAATTACGTGGGAGGTGGGAGATGCTATTGCCACCCCCCCAACCTCAATTTTAATGGTTTAATTAGTTTTAGGTTCCTAATATTTTTGAAATCATTATAATTAAGTCATTGTCCCTCCTAAATTCACTCGTTTAATAAATTTTAGGACTTTTAGTTTTAAAATGAAATTTTGAGTTTTCTTTTTGGTTTAATTACATTTTAAGACCCTTCAATTTTAAAATTAATGAAATTAAATCATATCTTCTTTAAATTTTATGGTTTATTTATTTCAACTCTGAACAACTTACCCACTTCATAGTTCAATCCTGACTTCGTACCTGCATGTCGCCCACAATAAGATGTCACAACTCACAAATCAGCCACTATATATACGCTAGATAGACTGCTATAAAGAAAAACCGTAAATTCAACATGCACTCCCTGTTAATCCAATGGTTTGCCATTACAGTCATTGGGTTAGGGTGAATATTGTTGTTAAATATATTACTGTAAAATAAACATATTAATACATATTAGTAAATAAATAAATGATGGAAAATAAAACTAATTTTAAAACACACAATAAACTTATTTTATTAATCATCATTAATTATCCTTTTCAAAATAAAGAGAAGAATGGTAATCTCGACGAAGAAGGGAAAGGAAAACAAAAGAAGCAGGTAACTACGATGTATAAAACAAAAGACTGGCTTTCATTTTTAGAGTAAATTACGTATTCAACCACTCAATTATTACTTTGCTCAACTAACTATTTTCTTAAATCATATTTAACGTTACGTTTTAATTTTATTTTAGTCATCCGTCGTTAGAAAATAAACAAAACTGTTGACATGGTTATCTTTTTATTTTCTTCAATTATGATGTAGCATCACTTTATGGTAACAAGTGAGCATTATCATTGATTTTTTTAATAACGGTAGATATGATTTTGAAAAAGAAAAGTTAGGTGGCCAAAACATAAATAAAATGATAGTTAGATAACTAAAGATATAATTTACCCTAATTTTTAATACTAAATGGAACATGGTCTTGGTCTTGGTCTTCCTTTTCGTTTGCGTTTCATCTAGCAACAACAAATACAGCTAGTAGGCTTGTAAACGAACCGAACGCACACGAGCAGAGGTATGTTCATGTTCGTTCATTTAATAAATAAATGAATATAAACGAACACGAACATAAACGAACAATTTTTTTTTGTTCATGTTCGTTTATTAAGGAATATACTTGTTCATGTTCGTTCATTTAATAAATAAACGAACATAAACGAACACGAACATAAACGAACATAAACGTTGGAGACCCTACCTAGGGGTATAAACGAGCCGAGTTGAGCTCGAGTATTGCTGAACTCGACTCGAACTCAAAAACTTTCAAAGTCAGCTCGACTCGACTCAAAAACTCGCGAGCTTAAAATTATCAAGCTAGACTCGAACTCGAAATATAATATTGAAACTCGACTTGAACTCGAAAAGGCTCGAACTCAAAAAAAAATTAAGAGCTCGATTAAAACTCGAGACTCAAGCTCGATTCTGAGCTCGATTCAAGCTCGACATTGCCCCAAGCGCAAAGATGCTTAAACCTATTCTCCCCCATCTTCTTTTATATAAATTACCAACCCCGAGCTGCTTATTTGCTACTGATGTGGGATTGCATAACGTTCCTCCACTTTCTTTCTTCGTCTCTCCTTCAACAACAATCGAGATGAACACAGATTGTGTTTCATGTGATTGCCGACCTTAAACCTTGGGGATCAAACAAACATGTCCTTAGCTTCGTGCTATGTAGAAGTTGAAAATTGGGAGATGAGAGAAGTAGGTTGGTTTATTGTTCACACCAACTCATACATCAAAAACCATTCTTTCTCGGCTGGCTAAACTTCCATATCCGGATGGCGCACAAAATTTGTTTGATGAAACGCGTTAAAGAACTTCTTAACCTATAGAATAAGGCCTCACCATTATTGGGTTCTTGAGTTCAAAGTAAGCTGACTTGAGTTGCTGGTTGATCACTATTTACTTGTAAATTCGAATACTCCATTATATATGAAAGAAAAGAAGATTATTTGAGTATAAGAAACGGTGCTTAATACCTAACATCCCTTCCGGAATCTATCCCCTTTGGACTTGGTTTCGAAAGCAACCGGTTTCTAGGACTCCTCTTTGCTCATTAGATAACCAGCTGGTGGTGCAGTCACATAGGGTTCCGGCGCAGTGGATGTTGACGGTGATGAGTATGCAGCTTATGGATCGTTCAAAAAGAACTAAACCATGTTAATATTGTTGGGTTTTCCAAATAAAATTGGGTTAATTATGGAGTTGGTCATCAGAATATCAGATTAATTAATATTTTTAAGATACTTACAAATTGCTCACAAAAATTGATTTAAGAAGATTGGGTTAAACATAAATGAATAAACATAAACGAACATAACCGAACGTTCACGAATGTAAATGAACGAATGAGACCTATGTTCATGTTCCTTCATTTAATTAAACGAACACAAAATCTTGTTCATGTTCGTTCATTTAATAAATAAACGCACATAAGCGAACTTCCCGCCGCACGATTCATGAACGGTTCGCTGAACGTTCAAATCATTTACAGGCCTAACAGCTAGCTAAGCCAGATTTGCAATATCTACGACCAACAAGGTATTACATGACAATTAATGTTTCAACAATTAAACCATATTTTAATTATTTTTATGCTTTTTTTTAAATCTTTTTTTCTTTTTGCAATTAAGTCCATAGTTTGTAGAATCATTGATCCACGAAATTGAAGTTTACTGTAACTCTGTAAGATATTTATTGCTAATGCATCACTAGTTTTTTATATATACATAATCCTAACGTAAATTGTAGACGAGTCTACATTATAAAAATTTAAAATTATCAAATTAAAGAATATGAATTAAATGATTAATTTACACATAATATAAAACGATGAAATCAAAATATATAGACATATCACTAGCATATGGAGGATTGAAATGGTACTCATGGATCAATCATTAAATAAAACATTGTTGGTGAGGCTTTGAAATTGTGAAAGTGGTAATATATATTTCATTAATTGAATTAATAATAATAATATTAAAAATAATATCACAAAGTGTTTCCAACACCAGCCACTAGGGGACATGAAAGTTTGGAAAACATACGCAAACAAAAGAAGAAAGAATCTTTGAATCAATGAATACGAAACAAATGCGAGTCATAAAGCAAAGAAATATCATATACTCCATATCATAATATATATATATATAATATCATAAAAAATATATAATATTTTTATGTCTTTCTTGTAACACCCCCCCCCCAAAAAAAAGGGGAAATGGAATGTTTCATATTATTTTAGAAACCCACACGTGTAATTTATACTAATTTAAATATTTTTAAAAAAATAATAAAATCAACTAACTTTTTATTAATCTAGGATAAATATAAGGTAATATATGTTTAAAGATAATTTTCAACTATTTGACGTTAAAACACTTACACTTCTAGCATTTCTGATATTCGAACCTGAAATCTCAAGGAATTACTAATGATCTAAAAGTTTAGAAACCCACAAGTGTATTTATCCTAATTTTAATAAGAAAATATTGTTTAAGAGAAAAGGGAAAAGATAATTGAATTTTTTTTATTTGGGATTAATTATGATAGCTTCATGG